TATATCTTTCAGTCTGGTTTTACTCTGTTAAGCCACTAGCAAAAAACAGCTTCTTTATTAACCAATAAAAGCAACACATAGACAGAAGAACTTTTCACACCATCTCCCCATGTCTGTTTAAATAAAAAGAAAGGTTTTAAGTTTAACACAGTAAAATTACATATAACAAGACAGTTACCAAGCAAGAATTAGTTACAACATATATATCTAATTTATCTTTTATCATAACTAAGGAAAGCTATAATTATTATAACTATCTATTCTTCAACTCCATCAAAGACCCCAGAAGGCTATATTACCTAAGTTAACAGGAAGAACATTGTAAGCAACTTGTAAAACTCCAGAATTGACAGAGACATCTCGCTGCCTGGATAGTCACCCAAAGTTCTTCTGGGACATGGAGGCATCCAGTCTTCATCTTACAGACCCATAGTATCCGGAAGACTTTTCTATAAAGTAGGAAATTGAAAGATCTGTTCTGCCTTATAATGGCAAAGTCCATCACTTGTTTTCTTCTGTGTCCTGCAGAATGTCTGGAAGACTCTTTTATGAAGCAGGAACCCCAAAGGACAATACCACCTTTAGGCAAGTTCAGCAGTCGTCTCTCTGTGGGTGTCACATGTCCAACTCACACAGCATAAAATCAAGCAGTTCAGGCACGAGCAGTCTTTTGTCCAAATGGCTAACAAACTCCATGAGGATCCTCTTTTATGCCCATCATCCTTTTGAAGTAAATTGGTGCTGCCAGGAGGAGATGTGTCTCATTGTCCTGAAAAGTCCTAAGTTATTAAAACATTTTAAATGTCATAATCTGTTAGTCTTTGAGAGGCTTGAAGAATAATTTATCCATTTGAAATATATCTCTGTACATCTAGAAAACCTAACTAACATGACTACAAACTTTACTATTATAGATGATTATCTATTAACCTGTATTTCTTAATTATCCATTACATTTTAAATGAGCTGCACAAACACAATACCTTAATCAAGAGCAGATAGATAGATGATAGATAGATAGATAGATAGATAGATAGATAGATAGATAGATAGATAGAGGATAGTTAGATAGATCTTAAATTTATATCAATAAACCAAGATCTATACCAATGAAAATCTCATTAGCATATTCCCCTTTAAATGTAAACAAACATTTATAAACAATATTTGGAAATTTGGGCATAGTTCTCTACAAACTTCTTCCTGCTTTTTGTTGGGCAAAGTAATTTTGGAGATGTTCACTGTGACCATTCAAGGGGATCTTGGTCCATCAAACCATTTTAGTCTAAAAGGAATCTATAGGTTCCTATCTTCTGTGGAAACAAAAGAAGAACCTCTTTTCCAAAGCAACAAATCTTTAGACCCAAATTCTGAATTCAAGATACTTTTAAAATATATATATTGGTTTATCTTACCAGCCCATACAATGAGATGTCTCTCTGCACTTATCTCCTTCACAGTCAAAAATTCAAAGAAAACACAATGTACGTAATCCAGATTCTCTGTGTATATTCCATCTTTACATGGCTTATTTTTCTTACTCTATTACCTTTTCTACTAGTTTAATATTTATTTTATTATCTTTACTCCTTTAACCTATGGCTGTCTATACTCTTTTATATTATAATTGTCTACACTCATTTTCATTTCTCTCTCTCTCAAGTATATGGACATTTATCCAATACTGTGACCCATTTAAAGGTCTTTTTCATCCAAATATGTCTTTATTGTGTATTTGTAATTATCTTTTGACTAAGGAGCACTTTTTTTCATTCTAAACAGGCATGGATAGGGCCAACATGGCCCTGCCTTCTTGCTTTGCCCAGTCCAACATGGCAGAGGCATGTTCGCCCCCGCATCTGAGAACCCATTTTTAGGCACACACTGAGTCAAGAAGCCTTCTTTGCTTGCTTCTACCAAAAAGCCATTTTAAGCTTTCTTAGGTTTTATGTGGATATAGTCAACCACATTGATGTGTCAATTTGTTAGTGGAAGCAGCTTGCTCATTTCTGGCTGCCCAGGTCATGAAATAATCACTCAGAAACTATATTATTTACAATACTGTTTGGCCAATAGCAAGCTCCTCCCTGATGCTCATCATATCCAGTTAATAGCCTGGCTTTGCCATAAAATCATAGCTGACAAAATGAGCTCTATAGAGGTTCCATGTCTCCCCACCCACGAACACCTGGCTCCTCTTCCTACACAGTCCATCTTCCTATATGTGACCAGAGATGAACAATCCACCTAATTGTTCTTTCTCCTTCTCATACTTGAAGCATGCTTGGACTCTCACCAAGTCTCCACATCTCTTTCACATTCCCATACCCCAACCCAACATGATCTCCCATGACTTTCCTGTGGTCGCTTGTTTCTACCTTGTTGTCTTCCCCAACAGTACCCATCTCCAATCACCTATTTCCCTACTTGAAATCCTGCAATCACTTAGAGGGAAAATTCAAGTGTTTACAGTCAACTAAAATGCTCCTGGTCTCCCTAACCTCCTTTTATATTCTCCCATACACACTTCATTCAAGATTCCTCAGCCTTCTTGCTAGTCTTCAAATATATCCATTGTCACTCTTTCTAAGGGCTTCTGCCATAAGCCGGAATCCCAAGCTTGCTTAAACCAGCATGTAAAAGTGAATCTACTCTAATGATGCCAAATATAATTTATGATTGACAAATAAACTGATTATGATAGTGACACTCTCTTGTCTCTAACAATCCCTCCTCTACAGTTATAAAAGTCCCAACTAAAAATACCTCCATCTATAACATTCCCGTAACATAGGAATCAAGACTTTATTCAATAATTATCTTGACTAAAACCTTTCCATGCCCATTTTTCTGCAGTTCTGGCAACAAATTGATAACCTTGGGCAATTTTTAATTAGCTGCCTTTAAAAAAAGGTTTGCTAAATTAGTCAACTATGAAATCACCTCACCCAAACGATTAAGTTCAGATTGCATTTCAAATCCATCACCTGTTTTTACTGTATGAACACACCGTCACTCCAGGATTGTTAATTACAGTATTTATCTGCCCGTGTTTTCTTATGGACATAGCACAGTGTGCAACCAGAGCCAGCTGGCATGTCTTTACCCTACTGTTTGAAGTGGCATGCAAGCCACTGGGTGTTGACATTCCTATAGCCAGAAATAGCACTGCACTATCTCCCTTGTTTACCCAAGGGAGATAGTATTTAAAGATAAGCCTCCTTCTATCCAGGCCTGGACAGAAGAGCTCTGGCTTGCCTTAGAAAAGACGCTGGTTGCCATACTTAATTAGCATGACAGCTGTGCTGATTCATGGGGAGCCGCACCCCTCCTCATGCCCTTCACACTGAAATAGGATTTGTGGAGCCACTACCATTTCGCAAGCACGTTGTTATGACCTTATTTACACCTCAGATTAAGACTAGCAGCTGGGTAGTATTAGTTCCACCTCACAGATGGGAATACGGAACACAAGGAGGTTTAAATAACTGACATTACACTAATGACAGAGCCAGAACATGCTCGGTGTCACCTGTGGACAAGGCACCTCCCACACTTCTGCTGTCACCATTGTCTCCAAACACCATCTCCGTGCCTGCCGCATCTCCATCACTTTTCCCTGCAGCACTTGGGCTCAAAGGCATAGCCATCCTTCTGGGTCCTGCACCATGGTATCTTCCAGGCTTTTTCCTTGCTTCTTTGGGTGTTTCCTTGAGCTAATTCCTGGTGTAGGACATCCATCTGTTTGTGTGTTGCTTTCATTGGTTAATGAATAAAGAAACTGCCTTGGCCTAGTTGATAGGGTGAAACTTAGGTAGGTGGAAAAAACAGAACTGAATGCTGGGAGGAAGAAAGCAGAGTCAGAGAGAAGCGATGGATCCTCAGCCTGAGATGGATGCCCGTTAGAATCTCCGGTAAGCCACTGCCATGTGGCGATAGATTAAAGGAGATGGGTTAAACTAATATGTAAGAGTTAGCCAATAAGAAGTTAGAGCTAATGGCCAAACAGTGTTTTAATTAATACAGTTTCTGTGTGGTTATTTCAGGTGCAAACTAGCCAGGTGACCAGGGCAAAAAAGCGGCCCCTCCTCCTACAAATCCCCCTTCAGTTTCACGAAGGCTGTCACTGACCTTTCAGGGCAGCTTTTGGGAAAGATGAGTCTCCAGGACTTCATTGCTGTCTCCTGTGGCTTCTCCCTGGGAAAAAGAGTATACCAGTGCCACCCTGACTAAACGTCTAAAGTGTGGTCTACAGTGGCACTGATGCCTACACCAACCTGTCTATACCCAGAGAAGTCAGCTTTCTCCCTACATGAAAACAAGTGGACAGTGGACGGTGGGATTGGTGAGGATGCTGTGTGCTGGGACTTTCCACGTAACCAAGAGATCATGGACCTCACTAGACCATAGCTCAAGATAAAAAAAAAAAAAAGGTACAGTTAGATGCCTGATTCAAGAGAACTTAAGGACAACTCATTAGATGCTCTGTATTGCTGGCATCTAGCCTTCTACTCCTCTTTTCTCACCTGCCTCTCGGAGTGGGTAATGGGAAAGGAGGATTTCATTGCCTTTGAGTTAATCCTGTCAAATCTTTCCCTAGGGTGTTTACTGGAGCTCTACAACTCCACCCCAGTTCCCACTGGCAGTAAAGATTCTTATCATTCTAACCTTGAATTGTTTTCTGGAACCAGGTACAGACTCACAAGGTCCCTGGGCTGGGAACAAGCCTAGAAGACCCTGAATCTGGTGCTTGAATCTTTCATTAATGTGAAACCTACTTACAAATATCAAGACTTTACATCATGCTTCACCAGAAACAGCATTAAATTTAAATTAGCCTAAGACAACAGAACCACTTCAGAATATTCTCTTGCCTCCAAACCCAGAATCAACTAATCCTTTGGCCAAAACTAAGATGTACATATGATAGGATTTCTTCCACCAGGTGGCAGCCAAGCCTTACGAGAAGGCATAGTGTAAGCAGTCCACTTGTTTCTTGACAGTAAAAATTACTGCCATGCTGTCCGCTGCATTCAGAATGCCCACCAGATTCAAAGCCTGTTCAGAAAATTGTAATGAGATGGAAATTGGAGCAGGGGGGCTTGGATGAGGTGACAGAGCTGAACTCTGAACTCTGGTAGTCAGCCTGCATCAAGTTCACCTGCCTGTCATGGTCATTGCAGTCTTTGTGTTGGGAGACTCAAATAGTGGAGCACTGAGGCCATCCTGAACATAAGTTTTTTAATTAAGTCCCGCTTGGGGACTCAGAGCAATAAATCATTCATGGCATTGCAGCTTTCCCCGTCACTGTACTACACCCGTACAAAAACACTGTCCTTGACTGTGAGCTCACAGAAATAATGGAAAAAAGATAGACACACTATGAAAGTAAAACAAAAGAAACTGTCCCTGTGGATGTCTCTTCTCTCCTTCCCCAAACAAAGTCCTTGAGTGAACAAAAAAAATATTAATAGCATGAGGCCAGTATATTTAATCTTTCTAAAAACTGTGGTATATGATAACTAGATGAACCATCTCCTGGACCCAAAGGAGGTAAGAATAAGAGAATAAGAGTTGATGGGCCATAATCATACCTGAAGTGTACCCTTGGTACTCATTGGAGAAGCAATGTAAATTTGATACAGCAACAAGAAAAGAAAGGGAGCTCTTTTCTTTCCCATTTACTATTCTTTTTCTTTTAAAGATTTAGTGCATCTGTATTTTTACGAATCTGCGTACAGGTTTGTGCACGCGTGAGTGAAGATGCCCACAGAACTCAGAAGTGGGCATCAGATCCCGCAGAAGCTGGGACTACTGGCAGTTGTGAGTTGCCCAAATTGGGTGATGGGAGCTGCACTCTGGCCTCTGTAGGAACAGTGTGCTCTCTGAACCACAGAGCTATATCTCCAGCCCCACTCTTTGTGTTTTAACCAGTTTTCCTGTAAATTTTTTTTTTGTCTCTTTGCATGTTCTCCATGGATCAGTTAGCCTGCAAAAAATACCAGATGAGTTAAGTTCTCTGTCAGCTGTAGTGTAATATATGTGTGACTGAGTGTGCTAATGTGTGAGGAATTTATTATCCCCACCCTTAATGGCAGGAGGAGTAGATGTCTCCATAATACAACTGATCTGAGCAGAGGGGTGACAGGGCCACATATAAACTCGGTGAGATGAAATGCTGCTCATCACAGTGTTCTCTTTAATGTGAAGAAAGATTTAAAAGAGCAAATGACACAAAAAGACAGATCCAGTTTGGGATGTTCGTCCTAGGATCCAAAGGCTACAGTATCCCAGAACAGCAATAAATGCATCTCAACACAAAATTGTAAACCTCCGTAAAGCATTATGAGATGTATAGAGTAGAGTGTGTGTGTGTGTGTGTGTGTGTGTGTGTGTGTGTGTGTGCGCGCGCGCGCGCGCGCGCGCGCGCGCCATGGCCCTCACAGAAATCAGAAGACAATTCTGAAAAGTCTGTGAGTCTCTCTTAATGTACCTGCCATGCTGTGTTGGACACGCCAAGCTGCTGTCTTGGGAGCCCTAAGGACATCAGGCCATTGTCCTGCCTCTGTAGGATTACTAAGATTAATACGTTCAAATGACTCTTTTATTGGTACAGTTTTTATCTGTTGTTTCTTTTAATGTAGATTCCATGGATTGATCTCAAGTCACCAGATTGTATGCAAGTACTTTTCTCTTGAACCATTTTGCCAGACTAATATTTTTTAATAACTCGATTTGAAGATTCTTTATAAATGACAAAGTCCCATTGCAATGACAGAAGGCTGGACATGGCTACTTTGTTTGCCTTTCTCCCTTTACAGCACAGATGGATGCCCCTGCTTGTTTCTGAAGTCTCTTCTCATTTTCATTTGTCTAAAGAAATGCCATTCCTTTTTACTAGATTTTTAACTACACACTAGAGCCCTGCCTAATGGAGGCGAGGATTTGCAATGTCTCTTTACTTTCTCCATTTGTTTAGCAGATCATTTAATCTTTGTTAAATTTGGTGCAATTTTATGAATAGACAGGCTGGAGAATGAACTTTACAGCAGCCAGAACTCAACAAATGCCTGGGTGTCTGAAGAGGAATCTCCTAAGACAAGATTTCTATGTCTGTTCCTCTGAAAGACAAACACATACAATGCAAATATTCACCCACTCTTTTGGAGACTTTGCCCTCCATGTTCTTAAGAAAGGGGCATCTCAGTTTTGGGGTGTAATGACTCAATCCAAGATGAAGGTATGAAGGGAAAATTGCATGAAATAGAGAAGATGGGAAGAGGCTTCATCTGTGGCAGAAAGAGCCATCCTGCATGGAGAGCCTGAGGAACGTCAGTGGGAGGAAGGAGCCAGAGAGGGGGAGTCTGCACTACTTCCACTAAGGCGGTTGGCAAAGATTCTGTTTAGTGCAGCAGAGCCACAGGTGTACTTGGAAGCAGTAGACAAAGGCAGGAGATGTCTCAGTGGTGTTCTCAAAGGAACAGATGGCAGAAAAGCAGCTGATGCATCCTTATAAGAGCAAAACACACAGCAGGACCCTCAGAAGAGCATGGTGAATGTTCAGCCACAGTAAGGAGATACAGACCAGAGTCCAAAGTAGACTGTTCCAATGACCATGAAGATGAGGATGTAGTCAACGTTTGCCATAGCTGTTGGCTGGATGGGAAACATTCACAGTAAATTTCCATTTTGATGAAGCATTTGCACTAATCTAGTTAGGCAGGCAGCTTCTTGATATGATTGAGAAAGGAAAGATTTACTGCCTGGAGACAAGATAACAGGGCATTCATTGCATGTGTTACTTCATGTTCCAAGACCAGAGGTGGAGATCCTGCTGTTTCTTTTTTGGTGTCAAATATTCTCGTCAGTCTAAGGACAGGTTCATGGTGTAGCTTTCTCCCAGATCAAATGATACTTTCTCACTTCTGAGCCTCTCATGCTTTACTGGGCTAATCAACTAACCCGGAGGTCAGAAAGGCAAGGAAACCCAGGCCTCCCACCTCAGCTTTTAGATTAAAATCTACAAAGAGAATTTCAGGGTGAGAAAAAACATAAGACCATACCAATATATGAAAATGTAAAATGGATGCTGGGCGGTGGTGGCGCATGCCTTTAATCCCAGCACTCGGGAGGCAGAGGCAGGCAGATCTCTGTGAGTTCGAGGCCAGCATGGTCTACAAGAGCTAGTTCCAGGACAGGAACCAAAAAGCTACAGAGAAACCCTGTCTCGAAAAATAAAAAAGAAGAAGAAAATATAAAATGAAGAAGAAGATGCTAATGTACTCTTAATTCTGATAAACAAAATGCTGTCAGTGTGGAGAAAGGCTGCCTCCATGCGGAAGCCAACCTTCCTAATCCTTCTTACCAATTAGAAAGTGCAACTGCATGGTTTAAGCCAGAGGAGGGAACAATGGAAGGATCAATTCTGGAGGAAGACCCCAGGAACTAAGCAACCAAAAGCAAAATTGGATTTGGAAAATGAAGGATCCTAAAAGAAGGGTCATAAAGCCCCCATGGGTTTGTGCTCGCTGTGGGTGCCTCTCACCTTTGTACAATGTCTCTCAAGCGGAGACAGAATGCCACTTCTGATTAGACTGGAGCATGACCTGAGCCAGCTGAGCTACCTGTGGGAAGGCCTGCGAGGCTGCAAAAATGGAAGCCCAGAGAGCTACCATTTGCTGCAATCAGGATTCAGGCCAATTCTGTGTGAGACATCTGCTTGTCGCAGTCAGTGTCCACTCTAATTGGCAGTGATTGCAAACCCTACCACCCAAGGGCAGCCACAGAAAACCCACTTTCTGAAGTACAGCCAGACCTCAAAGGAAGCAGACCTCAGCAGGCAGTTTCCCTGCTCTCCCTGATCTTATCTCCACAGACTAAGCAGGGATGTTGGTGGGAGGTTCTGTACCAGCGACAGATAAAAAGATAAAGTAAAACAGATAAACTATAAAAGCCAACAGTGGACAAAGCCAGCTTGAAGATAGTCTTTGTGATAAAGGAGACGTATTGTTTTATTGAAGAGAACGTAAAAACTTGAGGATGTTACAGAGAATGGTTTGGCTGGCATTAGCAATAGATTGAAAGCTTGTTTCTCACACAGGACTATGTGGAGAGATGCTTCTGGGCCACTAGCAAACATGGAAGATTCCTAGGCTCCACTCCAGGTCAAAAGTCTGAACTGAGAGGGAGCCAGAGTGAAGCTGCATATTAACTAGTTCGGGAATGATTTGTTTTGATCTAATTTTCACATTAAAGCCCAGGCTAACCTGGAACTCATGTCAACCTCACGGCCTCAGCCTCCTGAGGGTTGTGATCACAAGCATCACCCAGAACACTCAGATGCTCTAGACATGACTAAAGATATGCTCTGGGGAGAGGACAGAAGATAGCGTGCCCAGTCTTGATCCTGTGAGCGTGGACACACAATGTGCAAACAAAGCTTGCAAGTGGTCTTAAGATCAGATTGGAGGTATCGACTGGGATGAGCACAAATTTCCTGACCCCAGCTGCTAATGACAGCTGCAAGGACGAGGTGTGTGTGTCTATAGTCAGTATCTAAATGCGATCATGGGTTTGAAAGAACTATCACTGGGAGAATTGAGCAGGTAACAGAGCCTTATTTTTTGCCACGAGAGCAGCTTCCAATATGAACCCTGTGGTGTTGAAGGTGTGAGCATGTATCAGGGCTGGGCCAATATTCCACTTTTGATCAGGACTTTAAGGACTGTGGATGCAGAGAGCAGAAAAGTGATAGCAGTGGACCCTATAGCATTGTAGTCCTCATGGGAATGCCCTTCCCAGCCTCTTCTTCAGGAAAGAACTTGACTGCGGCTGCGTGTCATTGTTTAAGTCACTTCTGTCCTTCTTATCTGAACTCTCACCTATTTACATATTTTTGATAAATTCTTTTCTGCTTAGGTTTATAGTAGTTGTAGGACAAAAACAGACCTGTGATAAAAGTTTTACAAATAATCAAGAAAAAGAACTGCATAGACATGAGACAGCCGGAAGCACATTCGGGAACAAAACACCAAAGGTTTGTCTATAACAATGGTTCCAGAGAGCCCAACACTGTGGAAATCAAGGAGGAACTCCCCGGAAAAAGGAGTGCTCTGGGGCTGAGCATTTCCTTTTATGTCATCCCAGGCCTCACAGATCATTTTCCAAATTTGTGGTGCCTAGATTTCAATGTTCATATGGGTGTAGGCATGTGTATGTGGGTGGAGGTCATGAAACAATAAGGGACTGTGGAAAAGAAAAAGACATCTCCAGTAGGGTGGGGAAAAGAAAGAGGAATGGGATGCACATGGCATGAAGTCAGAAGAGGAGCTTAGGAAGAAGAAGACCAGTGGGAGGGAGGGAGAAGGTGGGAGGAGGGGGGAGGGAGGAGAATGAGCAAAAATATGTGTGAAAATGAAATGAAGCCTTTACTTTGTATACCAATTAAAAATATTATTATTAGTGGTGTCTGTGTATAATGTGTGAATACAGGTATGTGGGTGACTCTCTCTCTGTGTCTGTCTCTGTCTCTCTGTATGTCTCTGCATGTGTGTGTGTGTGTGTGTGTGTGTGTGTGTGTGTGTGTGTGTGTAAATGTGTAGGTTAGAGGCAAACCTTGTAGAGTCCATTCTCTCTTCTTCCACCTGTATGTGGGGTTCAGGGGACTGAGCTCAGTCAGGCCATCGGGTTTGCGGCAGAAGCACTTTGTCAAGCCATCCAGCTGCCCCTTGTGTGCTAGTTATGTTTCCCAGAGCAGACCATGCTGCAGAGGAAAAGATGATTTCCAAGTCCTTCCAAGGGGCTCGTCCAAGGACATTAAGGGGGAGATTCTTCAGAAATAAGCGAGGAAGGCAATGAAAAGCAGGAA